TAGATAACTTATCTAATAACAATTTTAAAAATATTTATTTTAAAATATTATAATGAATTAACTAAATTTTAAAATATATTTTAATCAAAAATATATTTTTTGGTCGATACGGTGACTAAAAGTATTATAATAAATAATTAAATTTTAAAAAAATTAAATCTTATAATGATTATTTTTTTAATGATGCTAAATTAAATATTTTAATTATTTTACAATAAATTAAAATGAAACGATAATAAAATATGTTAATTGATATTTCAAATAAAATGTTTTACCTACGAATTTTATCTATGGGTGAAGTTATCTATGGAAATTTTCGTAGATAAATTATCTACGAAAAAATCTGTAGATAAATTATCTATGGAAAAATTCGTAGATAAATTATCTACGAAAATTTCTGTAGATAACTAAATATTATCTAGGGAAATAATTCCATAGGTAATATTCCGTAGATAACTAACAATTATCTACGGAAAAAATTCTGTAGACAATATTCCGTAAATAACTAGACATTATCTACGGAAAAAATTTCGTAGATAATATTCCGTAGATAATAATAATTTTTCTTGTAGTGAGTATAATTGATAGGCTAGCCCTCTATTTCTTTTTGATGATCACAAAGGGGGAGAAAAATCACCACAAAAATCTATCAACTGAAAAGGCCACAAAGTAAGGGGGAGAGCATAGACATAGGGGGCGGATCCCTAGTACTTTAGAAAACGCACATAGAAACCCCTTCACTACAATATCAAATGATATTTGTTTACTCTTTGTTTGATCCAGGATGCTTGATATGTATAAACATGTATGATAGATACATCTAAAAATGACTTGATAGATTATATTTGTCATCATCAAAAAGGCGGAGATTGTTAAGTCAGACGAAGCGCATTTGCAATTCCCACCAAGGTTTTGAATATGACAAATATAATACATATTGTTATTGCTAACATGTGTATTAGTGTTTCAGATAAATAACAATAAGTTCAAGAAAAATGAAGGACAAGTATGATCAAGCATAATCGAGTTGGACAAGACATTAGACAATGGCAAAAGCTAGTATTAAGACTAAAGTTGGTCCAGGCCTAAATCAAATACAAGATAAGATGAATCTATCAGCTGAAGCCTGAGGAATCAGATGTAATACCGAAACAAGCATTGTATGAGACTAAGTCAAGCATGAGACGAAAGTTGGCCAAACATCAACATGAAGGGGCGAAATCACCAGATAGAGCCTAATGAACTAGAAGACGAAGTTATCTCTCTCATGACCAGACGTAAAGGGTAGTCAAGATCAGATGAAGTATCATATATCCAAGCGCAGTTAAAAATGATGAAGTGCGTCTGAAGTCCACTAATCACAACTGAGTGAAATCATACAAGAAACACCAAAGTACATCAAACCAGAATACAAAAACGAAGAAAACTAGGCAAGCGTGGAGTTACAAGTCAAAGCTGCGTATGTCAGAGAAAAGACACATACTTTTCAGAGATAGACAGCACCGCAACAGCTAAACTGATGAGAGAAGTACAAAGATGCCTAGACTAAGGTGCGTAACCTTAGTTTCTGAAAAATAAGTGTCTAAGTGTTTGTTTACTCTCGTAGAGAGGATAGACTATTAACAACACTCACTAAGATAAGCTATCTTAGTTTTTAACAACATTCAACACAGTTCAGCTTTTCATTATACGGCATTAACAGCATTAATCAGCATAAACAACATTATCAACAGCATGATCTACAACTTTACAATATACAACATACATCATATTCAACACATAATACGGCTCATCCATCTTGTTTACAACTCATTTATCTTGTCAAATTACTATCCAGACAACACCAATCAACCTAAACACCTAAAATAAGTTCCAACTCAACCAAATCACTAACTGTGAAATG